TAACACGCATCTGGTGCCCTCTCCCCTTGGGGAGGTGGGGAAGCTCACACCCCTGCTGTCCGCTCAGGAACTCTTCAAGGCTGTTTAAACAAACTCAGAAAAACCTTTTGGTCTACGGGTAGTGAATCTTAACGACAGTCAGTCAGATAGTCTACCCTTTCCTTCCCCTCTCCTGGAGACTCTTATCTCTGGAATGCGAATCCGCCAGCAAATGTTAACAAGGATTTATTCTTTCTTTGCTCAGCTTCTTTTAATTAGCAAGGCAAACATCTCTGTAGGTGAGATATTCATGTAACTAAGAGACGATTTATTTCTCTTCTAAGAGGGTGGAAAAGCTGCCCTTTAGGAATTTATTTTTCCTGTTAGCAAGATCGGTCTTTCATTATTTATTTTTTCAGAATAGGACATATAATTAAGATTATTCTTTTTGTAGGTTATATTAATATTTTTATTTTTTGAATAAAGCCTTGAGTTTGTTTGCCTCTATGTAGGTCTTTTAAGATTTATGAGGTAGTCAAAGAATATCCTACAGCGGGCTGGCTTCTGTAAAATTAATTTTTTTTCCTCATAAAATATGCTTGTACAGAATTTAGAAACCCTCAGTGTATACAGAGAAGGAAATCATACACTTCTGCCTGAGTTCAAGGTTCAGAGATTGCTACAGACTGTAATAGACTTTACAGATAGTGCTTATTGGCCTCTAACTGCTTTTATGGTTTCCCCAGCACATTGACCGCCACGATTGCATGTGATCACTTCCTTCATGGCTAGGTAGCATGCGGGCCAAGAATACTGGCTCTGCGGTTCGACTTTCTGGGTAGAGTATCTCATCCATCACTTCACTAGCTGGCATCCTCAGACCAGTTAGTTTTCTTAGTCATCCTTTTCTTCTCTAAAGTGGAGATAATAATTGCGCCCATATCATAGGGTTGTTGTATGTGTTAAATGAAGTAACACAGTGCTTAGTTCACTGTGGGAAAAGACAGAGATGGGGGAAAGAGAAAGCAGACAGTGAGCATTCCATTGTGGTCATACCTTTATACAGGAAGTTCGAGCCTCATTGCTCCACATGCATAGGACAGCACTAGAAAGCATCTTTGTGTGCTTAGAAGTATGTGTGTAAACAGACTTTATCTTTGGGTTTAGGGAGTTAAGTCACTCAATTTTTGGTCTCAGTTTTTGCCTGTAAAATCCTTTCAAACTTATTGCCCCCATTGGCCCCATGAGAGTACTATGAGGCATGTAGGAAATTTCCTTGTGGGTACCTCTTCCCTTACAAGAGGGGAAAGGTGAGCGATAAACTTACAAAATAAACTGTAAAAGGTATGTATGTCCTGAAAGAAGCCATGCTCCCTTTTTTCTTTGTTTTGGAGATGGAGCTGTCACCCCGGCTCGAGTGTAGTGGCATCATTATAGTTCACTGCAACCTCAGACTCCTGGGCTCAAGCAATCCTCCTGCCTCAGGCTCCTGAGTAGCTAGAACTACAGGTGTACACCACCATGGCCTGCTAATTTTTTTATTTTATGTAGAAACAGGGTCTCCCTGCGTTGCCCAGGCTGATCTTGAACTCCTGGGCTCAGGGGATCCTCCTCCCTCAGGCTCCCAAAGTGCTTGGGTTATAGGCGTGAGCCACCACGCCTGGCCCAAAGCCCTGCTCTGTTAAGTAATGAGTAGTACTGATCATTCTCTGATGCTCTCATAACTTTCTTCATTTTCTTCCTTTTTGAGAATCAAGTTTTTGTTTCTTTTTTTTTTGTGTGAGACAGAATCTTGCTCTGTTGCCCGGGCTAGAGTGCCGTGGCATCAGAATTTTTATTTCTTGAGAGCCATCGACATCTTTATGAGCTTCTTGCATTAAGTTTATAGACATATTTAAGGAACCTTAACTTTTTTAGGATGGTAAATCGTCTTTGTTGATATGTACTAGAATGTACTTTTACTTGGTGCTTTTGTTTGTAAACCTCCTGCTTAAAATATTCTCCCATCTCTGATTCTTAGGATACAGGGAGGATGGTTCTAAAACGAGAATACTTTCCTTTGGAGAAAGACGTTTGGGAAGTGGCAGCCCAGGTTGGTTCATTGATTAGTATTCAAGCTTAAATAGAAGTAACATAGTATAGTAGAAAGAGCCAGAGATTTGAAATCATAAGAGTGGAATTGGTTATGGTTTAACCATTTGATGCAAATGCTATCCCAGAAAGGTACTTAACATCTGAGCCCTAGTTCTGTAATCTGTTCAGTGGAACAGTAACATTTACCTCGGCTGGGAACAGTGCCTCATGCCTGTAATCCTAGCACTCTGAGAGCCCAAGGTGGGAGGATCACTCGAGGTCAGGAGTGAGCAAGGGCAAGACCCCCGTCTCTACAAAAAATAGAAAAAAAATTAGCCGGGCGTGGTGGCTCACACCCGTAGTCCCAGCTACTCGGGAGCTGAGTCAGGAGGATCGCTTGAGCCCAGGAATTTGAGGTTGCTGTGAGCTATGATGATGCTACTACACTCTAGCTCAGGCGACAGAGCAAGACTCTGTCTTACCCCCCCTAAAAAAAAATCTAAGTGTTAGGAAGACTAAAAACAGGTATTTGTGAAAATGCCTTGAAAACTGTCAAGCACTATATAGATAGTTTACTACACTGGTTTTATGCTCTCTTAGTCTAATGGTAACCCCACATGTTGCCTTTAGAAACCTAGCCATCCCATACTTCTCATCAGAGTCTCCTGAAGATATGGTAATAGGACCTGAGTAAACGTTCAGTTAGTAACTGCTATGATGCAGGTATTGTTCTAGATCGGCATTGTTCAATAGAAATACGATGCGAGCACATATTTCATTTTAAAGCTTCTGGTAGCCACATTTAACAAGGAAAAAAGAAACAGGTGAGATTATTTTTCATTATTTTATTTAACTTAGTATATCTAAAATATCTTTTCAGCATGTAATCAGTATGAAAGTTATTGAGATATTTTACATTATTTTCTCTTTTTTTTTTTTTTTTTTAGACAGAATCTCACTGTGTTGCCCAGGCTAGAGTGCCGTGGCATCAGCCTAGCTCACAGCAACCTCAAATTCCTGGGCTCAAGCAATCCTTCTGCCTCGGCCTCCTGAGTAGCTGGGACTACAGGCATGTGCCAC